AAAAGTAAATCTTTCAGGTTAACTATACCAATATCGATATAAGTTCGCTCGATTATTAATTCAACACTATTTGCTTAATGAATTTTCTTCCTTTCAAACAACGAAATAATGAATATCCATACGCGTACTCAAGTACGCGTCATTTACAATGGAAAAGAAGTAAAATATTATTCGAATCTCTTCCGCCAATGTTATACGAATTGCAAAATTTACCTAAAATGTTAATATCCTATAGCTCTGCCCGACTATCTAGTAATTTCCACGTTGATAAATCCTCTATATATAAGACTTTCATCAACAACTTTCATTACACCTTGAAACCAACGTTAAATATCACGCATTTATCGATCATCATCAATAAATCTTCCACGATTCTATCTGCGAACTGATTTATTCCTGTTTAAAAGCGTCCCTATATAAGTGTATCATCTATCAAGACTCGAATCAGATGATTCGTGGTCCAAGCTAAACGTTCCCCCCTCCCTGGCAAGTCACGAGTTGATACGGACGGTTCAATAATTAACCCGGCGTGGAAATCGGTTATCGAGATGATATTATTCGACCTCTCGCCTCGATAATACCAATGCTCGAACGAACGAGCCGTGCCGCCATTTCACCTCACCGGCCGGATTCAATTTAGATGTAAAATTTAGAGTGGTGGTCGCGCCACCCCTCCCTTCGACCGACGAATTCCGCATTATTATAATAGACCGTTGGTAATGGCTCGAAAATAAAGAGCCAAGGGGTAATGGAGAAACCGGATAGTGGAAGGAGTGGCGCACCTTTTGGATCGAGGATACGTATAAACGAGCCATAAACTTCCCTCCTCGTCGACCCTCCTTAAATCCTCGTGTGTTTCTTATTCTCACGATGAGCGTGGTTATAACTTGAATGTTCGTTCTCTCGGTTGGAAATGAAATTGACGAAGTGACGTTTATTATATTCTTGGCCTATTCGGGTTATTACCGTTTCCGATACATTTTATGAGACGGATGGATGACACGGAACGTAAGGATTATTTATGGAATTATTGTCATCGGATTTTTTAAGATCGGATGTTTGATTGATTCTCACAGTTAAAGGAAATTTTTATTTTTATTCGTTTTTAAATAAATTTGTCATTTTTAATTTTATTTTTATGTGAAAAATGTTTGCTTTTGATAGATGTATAACTTTGAAATCATCCGTGATAAGAAGTTTCTGTAAAAAATAATTGAAAAGAAAAATTAACGTGCGATATACTATAAATTAAGAAAGTATTTTTTTTTATATATCTTTTATATGAATATTGCAATGTTTGAAAATGTTTTAAAAATATTTTGCATATCACTTAATCTATTTTAAATGAAGAAAAATATTCGATGTTAAATTCGATATCGCTTCGACATCGTATATTTTATTACTTTATTTTAATTTAATTTTTGAAACAAATTTTTGCTTTTCTTTCTTTCTTTTTTTTTTTTTTTCTAATATCTATGTTTAATGAATAATTTATATCTCACGTATATTTTTCCTATATTTCCTAAACAATATTTTAAATATTGTTTTCCATTTAAAACTTCCAATTTGTTATTTTTTAACAAAGTTACAATCAGGAGTCAAAATATAGAAATGTAATTAATTATTCTCAGAAATGTGCGAATATAAACGATAATAATTTCAATAATAATGATTATTAAATAATACAAAATTGAACATAATTAATATAATATCCTTGGTGATATTAATAATTGTCATTATTATATGGTAATCACTTGCCATGAGAGAAAGAGAGAGGATGAAAGAAATGAATTTGAAATTTTAGCTTTCAGATTGTTCGATATTACATAAAAAACTTTGCAATTATATTAATATAATAATGATTAATAAAATGTATTAAAAATAAACACACGTATATTTCTATTTATTATTATGGAAAAATGCATCAGAACAAAAAATCTTTCAATACATTGCTACTCAAATAACATTATTAAAAATAAAATAATGCAATAGATGAAAAATTTAAAATTTCACTTGAATAATTAAATAACAATTAATTTCAACCAATTTTTTCTATTCTGTCCAAAATAGCATAATTACAATAACATTAACTTGTACATTTATATCGGCACGAGAAAAAGATAAGTAGAATACTCTCCTCTCGTTATTTACTTTATTCCAACATTTCTCAATTTTAAAAATACCATTTTCCATAATTCTCACATAATAATAATAGTAATAATAATGAAAAAACGCTGAATGAATAACAAAATAAGATTTTCTACAATTTTCTTACCTGTCCTTAACGTTTTCCAACACTTTCCAACACAATGTAACAGAGAGAAGAAAGGGATATTTTACAAGATTAAACGTTCTCCTCCCTGAAATTGACGGAGGGACAATGGAGTCGCCAGGCGAAAAAAGCTCTGTTGTCCGTGTGCCAGCTTCAGGTGTGCGAGCCCGTGAACTTTTTTCGACTTTTGCGAACGTAATCCTCAATCACGAGCCGTACCGCCACGCCACTTTTGCCTCGACGCGTTAAAAAATTCTTCGAACCCGTGCACTTTGTCGCCGATCCAAGCAACTACGCGGAGAATCGTGGATACGTTCCTTTAATCGAGATCTTGAACGAAGCTGAGAATTTTTCTACTCTTTTCTTCTTCTTTTATTACCGTTATTATTATTATTATTATTATTATTTTTTGAATATTGATTTTGAAATTTTTGATTGGTTTGAAATTTCTTCGAATACGTTAACAAGATTAACGAGAAATGATTTGTTTTATCATTCACCATTTTTGAAGGAATATTGGAACATTTGGGAACACGATTAAAGCCATTCTGATTTGATGGAGTTCGATTTGGATTATCATACGCGTCCATTAGGCGCACAATGACATTTCATTCGGTTAATATATTTACGAAAATGTATTTGATCGTAGGGACGCAATGAGCGGCAAGAATGTGATTAAATCGTGTAATTTTATTTCCACGGTGTATTTCGACATTTTCGATTTGAACACACGAGTTCTTGTGACGTTGCCATTAACTCTGATTATCGCTTTACGAAAGCAATGGACGTGTTGTTATACAGGCTCGAGTGATGGAATTAAAATCGATTTGTTTCTATCTTTTTTTTTCTTTTTAATATAAATATATATATATTTTTTTTATCAAAAGAAATTTATTAAACGAAAATTAATGGATTTTAATTATTATGTGGTTTTTTGATACTTTTATTCTTTATTATCTTTGTTTTTTTCTTATATGTATGAATTTAGTGAATAAAACAAAAATGAAGGGTTCGTTTAACAAAGGAAATCAGCAATTGTTATCAACTATGAGATGTACTTTATGATTTTATCTACAATATATTTTGTTATAGAAAAATGTAAATCTATTTAATAAAAATTGAAGATTACTAGAATATTTTTTTCTTCTGTTAGAAAAAAAAAGGAATGTTATCGTTATTCATTTTTCAATTATAATTTTTTACTTATTTCAATTTTTTCAAAAGAAACTTTTTAAAGGTAAAACAATTTTTTTTATTAATTATTTTAATGAAATATTTTTGTAAAGAAAATGATAACGTATTAAAAATTTGAAATCTGCAAATTTCATTGAAGAAGTTTCACTGGAGAAAACATTTTATTTATTTTTTAACTACTTAATAACTAACAATCAAATTACAAGACATGAAATTCTCGATGATGAATAATGATAAATGATGGATGATTGCTTAATATGATTTTATGTAACAATACATGATTCGTTTGATTCTTTATTTTTATTTTCATTTAAATATTTTCATTTTGAAGTAATCTTTGTTTTTTGATTTCAAATTATATTTTTCCATATTTTTGGTATTTACCAAGGATATAAAATGAAAGAAATTACTTTTTAATTCTAATAATCATTTTAAAACAAAACTTATAATGAAACGAAGGCAATATCTTAGTTTTGCAAGAGAAATTAATTCCTAATAAAACATATCGATTGTTAAAAGAAATAATATGATTTATCAGAGCAGTGTTTTGGAAGAACTGTTGCTCGAGATTTTTGTTTTATTTCTTAGCAAACGAATTAACGAATTTATCTTAATGAGAAATTCGACGGTAAACTCGAAGCAGTGGTACATACCGTGCATTAATTGGAACAAACAAATTATACGTAATTTGAAATATTATTGTCTGTTTCGTATTAAACAATTAACGCATGAATCTGATTTTCAATTACTTACTTTTGCATGTTCTTTTTCTCTTCCTTCTTTACTTTAATAATTATGCACAATTGGAGGATCGGTATCGATTGCAGAAATTTCCTGGATTTTCTTTTACTTTTATCTTTACTGCACAATCTAAATATACTGTTCGACGGAATATTTGTATTCACCTTACGATACCTTTTAATTAATTAATACTTTTACGAGATTAATTTTCAAATTTAAACCCTCGGATGGAAAAATGAAATGAAAATTTTTAATATTAATAAGTATTTAATTTTAAGTGATTTTTATACTGAACATTTTTTGCAATTAATATTTTAAATTTACAATTTAAATTACTTCAAATTGCTCGTTTTTACTACCTTATTTTGAATTTTTTTATTTCCAATTATTTTCAATTACCTTATACACTGTTATTCTCTAAATCGATTAATTTTTAAAAATCCAAGAATCCAAAAGAGAGGCAAAATGTTAGTACAAATGAATTTCCCCTTAATAAAATAACTAACAAAATAGCTACAAAATTTGTATCTACTTCTTACAAAATGATAACTTTGACTTAAAATCCAACAAAAAAAAAAAGAACATATCTTTTCCAACACAATAAATAATAATCATTAAATCAAAATGTTATTCAATTTCAATTTTTAACAATGAAGAAAAAAAAAAAACTCTCAAATAAAGAAAAATACATACAATATTCAATAATCACCTATCCTTCCTTCTCATTTCCCAAGACACATGTCCAACAACATTTTTTAATTAATTAATTAACCATTAACCACTTCTGTTCCAGCACCATTGTAGAAACTGCGGCAAGATCTTCTGCAACGCTTGCAGCGACAACACCACGTCCCTGCCAAATTCATCGAAACCAGTACGCGTGTGCGACGAGTGTTACGTGTTCCTGGTCGGTCGTTACACGTGTGCACGCTAGCACTAACGCTTCCACGACCGGTTGTCCATCGGCTGTGGCCGATTCACCCGGGAGAACGACGGGCAAACAACGGAAGAAAGGATCTATCCCGCACATATACTCTTTCTCTCACATACACACGTAAGACGTTTCTGATGTCCTCGAAGACCGCTTCCTTCTTCTTCGACGCCGTTCATTTTCAATTCGGCGCACGCGGTTGTTGTTCGAAAAGCTGTTGTCGAGCTGTTGGCGAGGCTGCATCGCCTCGAGTCCAATTCCTTTCATCGCAATATCATCGTGCGACGTTTTGTAAAAGATTTGGAAAAAAAATTCGATGCCACCGCCGCCATTTTGGGGGAAAGGCTTTCGTCGAGATGGAAAAAGTGTTTGCATTTTATATTTTGACGAGGTAATTTTTGGGGGTATTTTGGGGCATTTGATCGACTCTCTTGGACGGGTTGTTGGGTTGTTCGCGTGACCACCGCGTGCATCTTGACGTAAAGGGGAGAATGTGGTCGAGACGAAAGTATTGAGAATTGGTTGAGAAAATGAATTATTATTACTATTATTATGTTAAGATTAGAATTTTTGTAAGTAGGGGACATTTGAAGGTCGTGATTGTTTTTTTTAAAAAAAAAAAGAAGTAGAATTATAACATTCACTTTTATCGTATTGTTATAAATATTATATATGTGTTATTTTAATTATAGATATATTTTTTAATGGATGAATTAATTTTCGTTATTCGTGAATGGAAAATGGATTATATTTTATAGATGGAATGTTAAAAGCCAAAAAAATACTTGACAAAAATGTTATCAGATTTATTATGAAAGAAGTATTAAATACAGTATGTATGGATATGTGGTATCAACATGATGGATGTTCTGCTCTCTATGCTAGGATATCGAGAGAAACGTCAAATAATAGTTTTTTTTATTATCGTTTTGCCTTTATTATTCTGCAGAGAAATAACGTGTAATTCAAGATAAGGAAAATATGTATGTTTAAATAGTTACGTGAATCATATATCTTTCAATATTTTAATTAACAATTACAATGGTTGGATTATTTTTGATCCAGACGATTTGATGATCGATAACGAAAATTAGATAACTTTGAATCCTTTTTCGAATTCGAGAGTTGAAATATCTTTTAAACCAATAGTTTTCCGATGCAAATTAAATTTAGTATTTTATTTTATAAAGAATAATGAATTGATTCATGTATTGAAAAATGTATAATTTTATTTAGAAAAAAAATTTGACTTTGAAATGTCTTCTATCCAAATATTCATTTGTAAAAATTTAACTCTTGTCCGAATCATTTTTCAATACAATCAAGAAGATTTTTGATATTTCAAATTTCAATCTTAAGTGTCTTATTTTGTGGAGTTCAGAATTAGCTAATTGAAAAAAGTTTTATCTGTGATTCTTTTATGATAGAAAAATATTCTGATGAATAATTGATGATAAAATAAAATTGTTTTCTTTTGTATTAATTAATAGGATATTAAAGTAATATAAAAGTAAATAAAAAATATTGGAAAATAATAAATAGACAATTTATTATACATTATTAATATTTTAGAAACGAGTAAAGTTATAAAATATTGGAAATTTTATTCATCTTTCAAAAATAGTGACTTGACCATTGAGAATTTCGTGTGTATATTGTTGTTGTGATTAATAAAATATTTTTTATTTTTTATATCTTACTATATTTACTTTCTATCATAAAGAAACAACAGAAATTTTTTGATTATCTAATCATTTCTCTCAATAAAATTGTATTTTATTATATCATTAAATAAATTGTTAACAAAACTTATATTATAGCAAAATATTTATAAAGAAGAGGAATAAAAGAATATTTATAAAGAAATATTTATAAAGAAAAAAAAATTAAAAAGCACGAATTAACTAAAAAATTATTCATTTTTAAATTACCTACAATGAAAAGTTATGTCAATGATTCAGTTCAACTTAAATTTGGATAAAATTTTGTAAATTTGAAAAATATTTAAAAATATCTAAGTACGAGTTTCTTTGAACTGCAGTAATTGAAATCTTTCAAATTTCTAAGTGAAACAATTTTTTAAAATCATATATTATTATACAATTTTCGTTAAAAGAATTTTTTCATCCCTTGATACAATTTCATACAATTTTTGCTTGTTATTCAAGTCTACAAAATTTTATCAAAAAATTGGACCGTTAATGATATTTCCTTGTCCATATTGACTATTCAAGGAATAATAAAATAATTTTTATTATTAGAAATTTAATTAATTCTGGGACAACAAATTCGATTGTGATTACGAATTCCAAGAAGGAAATGTTTTATCAATGAATAAATAAAAGTGCAAATACTTTTCACATCCGCTCCACTGAAAGTAATCTTCATTCCTTTCGTTCTGAGCGAGAAAAAATTTTCAATCATCGAATTTTCGCTGTTAATCGTATGTAAGCAATATACAAATAATGTAATATATACGTTGCTATATACGTTTTTCCGTTTCTCGAATTTTAGATGTTCGTTAGTTCCTTTTTCGCGGTGGAGAACTGTTATCGAGAGACGCTTTGACAAATGTTAATATAACGAATATTTTATATTCAGATTATTATACGAGTATCCGCCCTTGGATTGGAGTTGTGAAAGAATTTCGAAACGTGTGCCTGTACAATGATATTTTTCAAATGTTCTGTAGCGTCGTGGAAATATTTTATGCGAATAAAAGGCTGGTTTTATATTTTCCATCTTGTCATTTACTTCCCTGTCTATTCATGTGCGATTCTTCAGTCAGTAGTGCAGATCAATGATAGCTCAGAGAGGCTCAAAAAGAATCGTGAAAGAGAATTTGTGTTTAAATTAGAAACGTGTTAATGAAATACGTTCCGTAATACGTGACCACGAGCTTTGAATTATGTATATCTTTTTTTTTAATAAAATTGTTATTAATAAAAGTTAATAGTATTAATAGCATTATAGATTTTTCTTATAGAATTTTATTTTTTAATTAATTCACAAGTTGCTGTAACAATTATATTAGATTAATAATTAAAATCGTATAAAATTAAACAATAGTTGATCTTTTAATTTAATTTTCTGTTATTTAATCTTACCTCGATCTTGAAATTTTTGAATTAAGATACGCATCTTATCTATTCTTATTTACAAAATATATTTTCTCATTTTATATTTAATCATTTTTGAAAAAATATAATCAAAATAATGATTTTATTAAAATATTTTTTAAATGCAAGAAAACTATTTCAACATTTTTAATACTTTACATTATATTTATTTTGGATAATTCGAATCTCAAAACGTCAAATCTTTGGATTAAGAACGAATTATATAACTAATATTTATTAACATATCACACTCACCATATTTTTCTAATCAAGTGTTAAGAATTACCATTTAACTCTGAATCTTTTCAAATTCAAATCTTTGAAAACACAGATCACAAACACTTAAACATTAAACATTTCTTAGTTGAAAAGAAGAATTTTTCAATTTTTCAAAATGGAATAAAAAAGAACGTTATATATAAAATAATTTCACATTTTGCACGTATAATATCCACTAGTAACTACCAAGTATCTCCTTTAACAATCAAACTACGTCAAACTAATTTGATAAATGTGAGATACTTTAGCAACGAGTAGATAGTAAATTTGCTCGATATAATCGATTCTTCCCCGGTCAACACACAGTTCCCTTTGTGCGTCGTTTCATCATGCGTCAGGCTATTGCGTGAAAGCTGGCCAAGAATCATTGTTCTCCAGGTATCGCAACGAGCTTTTTGAAGCGAAGACAATGGTATATGGCACGATTCCTATGATTGAACGTTTGCCCGGAACGAAAGGCACGTTGCAACAGTGTGAAAAGAATAGGTCGAGCCGGATGCCAGGTATATTAGAAACTTTTCCCTCCTTTCTTTCCCGATTTAGAATTATTTATGGACTTTATTCCACAATTATATCCCATTCGATTTTATTCACGATGATATAAGTAAGTAGTTCCGTATCGATTATTATCATTCTTTTTCTATCATTGCATCGTTATTTTGTGAATAAGAATAGAAAATTGAAAAAATTACTTTTTAAAGGAACATGAAAAATTTTTTAATCAAAATTGCTCAGATTTTTATCTATTTAAATTCGTTGTATAATCTGACTCTGGAAAATTTTTTATGAGATTAGAATTTTCGAATCTCAAGAAATCATCAAAAATTCCAAATTTCGCAATCTCAATCCGAAGAATCCACGAATCTTGTGCACAACGACGATATATACAAAGCTGGGACTATCATTCAAGAAGCGGATGGAATAGAAATGCGGGAAAATTTAAAAGAGTGCACTGCAATCGCAGTGATATCTCATTCAACGATATTAAAGAAGAAATCGCGTTCGTTCGAGAGGAGTGTCCGTGGAAAAAGGGAGAGGATGAGGGAACCGTGCCCGTAGAAAATGTCGACCGTAATGTGCAATCTACCCGCCGAACGTAAATCTGTTCCTCAGCCGCATAACGCTTCTCTCTAATCTTCGCGAGGGTGTACTGCACGCCACACAATCGACTCGCCCCTACGAGAACCTGGCCACCTTCCACCTTATGCTCTTATCCTTTCCGCCACTTTCTAACAGCGTACATGAGACGTATCTATTGCGACGACGTATCTTTATACGTGTACAAAGGGTGTTCCGTCTTCGTATTTTATTTCGTCTCATTGTTTAGCAATATTTTGGGAAGTAAAGTTTGTTCGAAGTCGAGTTTCCAATTTGAGGATCGTGAAATAGTTCTCGGTTTGAGCATTGATTCTGTATTATTTTTTTTTTTTTTTTTTTTAAGGAGAAAAATTTGTAGCGTTTGTTGGATTTAAGATAACGCAAAATTCTTGCAAAATTTCCTTTTATGCATTTAGCTAAATTTCTGTCGGATTAATTTAACGCTCGTTTGATTGAGATAAGTATGAGTGTGATTATACATATAGGTTAATTACAGGAATAAAGAAGCAAGTAGTATATCTCGATCATTAGTCCGACAAATCATACAAGATATAAGGTAAGTAATATTTCTTCTCTTTTATAATATACAACCATAAAATATATCGAGATATCGAGCAATCTGTCGGACAAAAAAAAAAAAAAAATAATTCAAATCAAGATATACTTGATGTCAAAACACATAAAATGAAATTTTCTTCACAGTTTTACATAAACAAAAGAACCCTAAAACGTGCACACAGAATTCTCTAAATGTTACTCACAAGATACCTTAAAATACAAGAAAGAAAAAAGATTACATAACTTTTCAATAACAAAAATCTCCACACACAAAATCTCCTTAATATCATTCCCGATCCTTTCCACAATTGAACACCCTGTATACCGATCCACGTATCTACACAGATACGCGGGGGGGGGGAGGGAGGGGGAAGAGGAGGAGGAGTTATCGGTGTCTTGTTACACGTGTGCTTGCCGCGGCAAGTTCCTAGGCGGCGGTGATTCCGTGTAGGCCAACTTGTCGGCTATCTACGACTTTCGAAAGCTCGTTAGCCACGAGCGTGCACGCTTAAACGGCCGCTAAATTGAAATCGATCCTCGGCAGCTTTTGGCGTCG